AGATCTTTGTTCTGGAATAAACACAAGATGATTAGATCATAATTTAGTAGCATCTATGCTTTGGTCTCTTTAGAATCCATTCTAATCAACTGAAATGAAAAACAAACCAAGGTTTTCCTTTCAGATCACCAAATTTGATGCATCTCAGTAAAAGCACATAAGTAGTAAAGTCATCAGATAGCGTACATGGATTAATAATAATTTCAGGCTATTTTATGCCAGAAACTCAGATATGAATCAGTGTCTATGCTCTCATTTCTGCTAGGTATTGTAAATGTAAAAAAAAAAAAAAAGTGGTTGGCTATTAATGAAAGAAAAAAGGAAGGATTGCTTTAGTGGGAAAAATGTTTCAGAAATTAAATGTGATTCGCATTTTCAGATTAACCAAACAGGAAAAACAAATGGAGAAAAAAAATCAGAGTCTTTTAATGTAAGATTTGAGAATAAGGAAATATAAGTTAAAGATATTTAAAGACTTAAGATTTAAAAAAAGACAAAAAGAGAATAAAAGGCAAGAATGACCAAATAGTACCCTTAAGAGAGACGTAGTGTGACAATTAACTTATCATGGCAGATTTTCATTTGTGTTTGTGAAACTTTACACTTAGAAAACATTTTCAGATCATCTAAGAGTATGACCCTGAGTTCTACATGATGAGTTTGCTGATGGCTTGTCACTCTGAGAGGTTTTGCCAGAATGGTTAATTTATAATTGCTTCCAGAGAATCGCTGTAAATATTCAGTAAATCTGACAGAGTTCAGAGCTAATGGGCTGTGTAGAGACAGTCAAATGTTTTAGGGGCATCCAGGAGAAGAAAAATACAAATAATAATCATCTGACCAGCTTTAGGATGCATTGACACTGGACCACATCGTCTATCACTTTTCCTGCTTGGAATCTAATTAAATAGGGCATTAAATTAAAATAAAATAAATATTGTCCAGATAGATGAGAAAGCCTTTAAATAAGAAGCCTTATTGTTATGATACAGCTATTCTGGCTTTGATGAGATGCGAGAGGCAGGAAGCCAAAGAGAGTTTCCATCTACAGAGTCAGAAAGGACTGCCAGGGGCTCTCAGCGTCTCCAGACTTGATCTCCTCCCTACCTGCTCACCTTCCGTCCCTCCAGAACTGTGTCCTCCAACATGCATGTGTTGGTGTGTCCTTCCATCCAGTTCTCCACGCTCCCAGAATTCTGGATAGTAGCATATGTAAAATATACACTAATTTCTACTATAAATCACATGATATATTATGTAAATATAAAATGCAAATTGTATATTTTATGTATGTTATAGGATATAGATATAAAATATATAATTTATGTATATCATATAAATTACCTATCTATTAGATAGATAAAGTTTTACCTTTCCTTTATTTCTTATCTCTGTGCAATATCTATTTCAGGATCAGAATCCAGACCTGGAAAGGATGCCACAGGGATGCATATTTAACACGTGTATTCAATCAGAAAGAAATTAAGCAGTCTTTTCAAGTGAAAAGTAAATTATGTAATTATGTAATTTATATAATTATGTATATATCCAGGGCCATCAGACTTTGTGGAATCATACTGCTGTTTTCACAAAGGAGCTACTGCTTATGCTGAACAAAGTAGACAAAGGTGAACTTATCAATAGGTAATTTAGATCTTATCGTTAATTCTTTGACAATTGAGAATAAGACTTGCAGGATGCCTGGGTGGCTCAGTTGGTTGAACATCTGACTCTTGGTGTAGACTCAGGTCATGATCTCAGGGTCCTGGGATGGAGTCTGTGGTTAGGCTCTGTGCTCAGCGGGGAGTCTGCTTGAGATTCTCTCTTTGCGCACTTCCTCCTGCCTCTCTGTCTCAAATAAATAAATAAATCTTAAAAAAAAAAGAAGAAGAAGACTTGCAAATGCTCCTGTTTTTGAGAAAGGGGTCATTTTTCTCCCAGTGCTAGATTTATCAAGAAGTGACCTAAGTTATATCACTTATATTATTATGTTATATTTACGTTTCTAATTATAAGTTACAGCATAAGTTCTATAAAGGCATATTATATCGATGTTATATATACATGTGTATGTCAGTGTGTTAGCAAAATGGGCAGTGCTAGAAAGTTGCTGGGCACCTCGCTTTTCCTCACATGGCTGATCAAGATCTCACTCATTCTTCGCTGTTGCTGCTCATCTTTATTGAGGTATAACTGACATACGACAGTGTGTGTGTTTAAAGTGCACATTGTGATGATGTCTGTATTATAAGATGAAGAAGCTTCATCAACACCTGCACCACCCTCTGTTCCTCCGCAGCTATAAGTCATCGGCAGTAAAGTCTGGGTGAGCTCCCTTCAGGCAGCAGGGACCCCAGCGTGAGATGAGCTATCAGACCACCTTTCCGATGCCACACCTTGTGCCCTGGTGTTCGTTAAGCCTCCTGGGCGACACTCTCGTTGGGATTCTGAGCCTGTTGAAATCCCCATGTGTGAGAGCCCCTCAGCACCTCGTTCCTCCTTGCTCTGCTCCAGGGAATCATTTCAGATATTCAGGGCAGAGCAGTAAGAAGCTTTGCTCACTGAGTAGCTGTGAATCTTCCAGGTAATGCTGTTTTCATGATTCCCAAGATTAGGAGCCACATAGCTTCTGTCCTGTCTCATCCTTCGTTCCAAAGTTAAATGGCTGACACCCCCAGAGGCTGCATGGAGGTAGTACCCAGCAACTGAACGACCGTGTTAGAGAGATACTGAGGGAGGTATGCTTCAACTTCCCCATGTTCTTTTTCCCAAAATGCATCCAAGAGCCCAGAAGCCCACGGACAGTTCTCTTTTCACAATCAACCTTCTTCTGCTTCATGGCAGAGAGGATTCCTTTCACCATCCTGAACAAGACTGAGAAGCACGGCTCTATAGTGCAAACCAAGGGTGATTTTTTATGGCAGCGAGTCCCTGGAGAGCTTAGGTAGGAAGTGCTGAGGGCAGCACCACCTGGTTACCTGGAGGGGACAGATACCGCTGACCCCACGCCTTCCCTCTGTCACCTAACCATGCCTATCAGTCCACATCGGTGTACTTTTCCTCCATGTCTCCTCTCTCTGTCAATATCTGTGTCAGGATTAGAATCCAGACTTGACAAGGAGGTTGCAGGGGTGCATTTGGAACACACTTATTTAACGAAAAAGCAGGAAGACATATATTCTCCAATGAAATATAAGTCTAATTTGCCCATCTGGCTTGAAAATGAGGGCTGGATTAGCTGATAGAATTAGTTGGGAGACCCTTTCAAAGCCTTGAATAAACTAACCTACAAATCCAAAGTTTGATAAACATGCTTACAACAAATACCTGGTAAAGAAGACGCCACAATATACTCCGTTGCAAGTGTATAAACCGATGATGCCAAATTGAAAATGTGCAAGAAACTATCTACTCTCCCAAAATCTTTTAGGGGACATATGGGCCCCAGTGTTTTACCGCTGTCTTACTTTGTACTTGCTTCCCGACAACCATGATTTGGGGAAGAGAATTTCTGGGCTTTGTGTCCTGGTATGGTTTCTGTGCTGAGCTTATCACTTAGGTGACCAAAAGCTGAATTCCCATTTAATATTAAATTGGAAAAAAAGAATACCTTTCATCATCTGGCCCCATCATGCTAGAGTCTCACTTCCTCCCGTTATTCCTGAAATACCTGACATTCTCCTGGAGTGAGGTTTAATGAATCTTGGGACAAGCCAGCCTTTGTTTTTTCTTTCCCTTTCAGCTCTACATCCTTCCAGGAGCTCCTTCCTCTCCTGGAACATCCTTCCCACTCCTTCCTCAATCAGAAAGTGCCGCTGAGTTTCGTGTCTCGCCTTGGTGTTCTCTTTTCCCTCCAGTTATAGGGACCTCCGTGCCCATGGGTGGGAGCACCTGCACTGCAGAGTTCATTTCCTCTACTCCATCCTGAGCCCAGCACAGGTGGACTCAGAGTCCTGAAAACACTGAGGGGCTGCCACCTCCTTGGTGAGAACTGTCTTCACTCCCACCTGCTCTCTCAGCCCGTAGTCTTTTATGCCACATTGGTTTCAGAGCTATAGTGTTTTGAATGGATAATTTGAGAGTAATTCTTTCAAGTGCCCTTTGCTAAACTTTTGCTTTTGTGGGTGGTTTTTCAAAACTGCAGGGTGAGGCCACTGGTGATGGAAATGAACAAAATTAACTCCATCATTAATGCTCTGGGATCGCTATGAAAGCTGACTTGATTAGTATTATTTTGGGGGTTATCTAGGGTCTGAGTGTGTGCAATATGAGGCAGTAAGTTTCTAGAGGGCAGGCACTTCTGACAGATTTTACGCACCCAAATAACCTAAATTTTAATTAATTAATTTATTTTTTCCAAACAAGCTAATTTTTTTTAAATGCATAAACATGGAAACATGGAAGTGCAGATCACTGCGGACCACCCTAGTATCTGTTGGTCATAGAGACACTGTGGTGTCATGCTATCTTCTGAGGTACTGCTCAGTTCTTGCTGGCTTATTGTAAGCCTTTATGTGTTACTTCCCGAAGCTTCCTTTCACCTGCAATGGGACAGGGATACCTGCTGGGGGCCCCTCTAGTCTCAGGACCTCCCCCTCCCATCTCTGAAGGGAGAGAGGCCTCTACAGCCCATGCGCAGGGAGTGTCTAGTCTGCTCAGGCTGTCATGACAGATCCTGTGCACTGGGTAGCTTCACGGTCTTCTATTTCTCATGGCGCTGGAGGCTGGGGAGTCCGAGATGGAGTTGCTGGCCCGGAAGGCCTGGGATTCAGATGACTGCCTTCTCACTGTGTCCTCACATGGCAAAGAGATTGAGAGATATTGAGAGAGAGATATAATCTCTGTTGTGTCTCTTGTAAGAACACTAATCCCATCATGAGGATGGAGCCCTCATGACCTAATTTCCTCCCAAAGGCCCCATCACCAAATACCATCATATTTGCGGTTAGAGTTTCAACATGTACATTTTGGGAGGACAGAAACATTTAAGCCATAGCAGGATGCCAGGTAAGTCACTCGAAGACCTCGCAGGTAACATGAAGACAGGCTAGCTCATCCTCTGAGAGTCCTTCTAGAAAACTCATCCATCCAACATCTGAGAGGAGTTATGGGCAGATGTAATCTACCTTAACTATGATTTATAAACATGTTTCCCTTACTAAGATCAAGCAAAGTGCCTGGTGGAAATCTTTGTACCTAGAGCATAAGCAAACAAGCTAAGAAAAGAATCACAGGCTTTTTACAGCAGAGTAGCAGCCAAAGGAATGCCCCTGAAGAGTCTAAGTGCAGAGCCCTGACCTCCCATTATGCAACAAAATGCTCTTACAGTGAGGATGGATTCAGGTGAGTGAATAAAACTCTTACAGAGGGTGGGCACATCCACTGAGGCACTGCTGGTTCCTCCTGGACCAAGGACGTTTGACGTTCCAGGGAGACTTGGTGAGGGCAGAGAACACACTGGCTTGTGGACATGGGATTATAGTCCAATCTTCTGTTACCTTTCCCAATTACTTCTTTTCTACAAAAGCAAATTTCTTGTGGGTTTTTAAAAAGTGTTGCATGGACCCTGTGTATATGAGTTTCTGGTTTATACCCAAGGTGCAAACGTTATTCCTAATAATCTCTTGTCAGTTCTCTGAACAGCCAGTTGGTTTTGCTCTTTGATATCTCCCTTTGTAAGTCAAAGCTCAGTGTGGTCCAAAAATCCCTGTCACAGAAATGAACTGCCGTTCTGGTCCATGGTCTCCTGAGAGTACCCTCTGAAAACTATTGTTCAGTTTCCATGAGGGAGGTTCTTGGATGCTTCTCATGAATGCTTTCCCCTTTTCTCAGAAAAAAAGTTAGGGTTAATGTCAAAAGCTAAACTGTGATAGACTCAAAATGGTTGAAAGATGTCAATGTGAGACAGGAGTCCATCAACATCCTACAGGAGAACACAGGTAGCAACCTCTTTGACCTAAGCCGCAGCAACTTATTGCTAGAAACATCGCCAAAGGCAAGGGAAGCAAGGGCAAAAATGAACTATTGGGACTTCATCAAGATAAAAAGCTTTTGCACAGCAAAAGAAACAGTCCACAAAACCAAAAGACAACCGACAGAATGGGAGAAAATATTTGTAAATGACATATCAGATAAAGGGTTAGTATCCAAAATCTATAAAGAACTTATCAAACTCAACACCCAAAGAACAAATCATCCAATCAAGAAATGGGCAGAAGACATGAACAGACATTTCTGCAAAGAAGACATCCAAATGGCCAACCCTGGCATGTTTCCTGCATGGACTTCCTGTCTAGCCAAGCTTTCTCTTACTGCCATTCTCAGAAGGTGGCATAAGCACAGCGTGGGCAGGGGTGTGGGTTTGGCACTCAGGGCTTCAGGGGTGCCTTCAATCAGTTGGGAAGAATCCTTGGGTGAGGTTTTCCCAGTAGCTTAGGGGCAGGCTTCCTGCTGAAGCCTAGAATGCAGCCAGCAGGACCCATATGGGTTTAATGCCGTCCGATATTCTTATCTGCCTGCTTCCTGATCTGTCTCCTCCCAGCCTTCATTTTTACACTCTGGGGACTGTGGCGGGACAGATGTCTTTCTTCAGCATTGTTGCACATAGCTGGTGAAGTAGGCACTCACTCACTGCTCTCCCTTCCCCCCTGTGGGAGGGGTCCCTGGCCTCTTCTTTTTTCACACTATACTGCCAAGGTAGTGGTGGGAGGGGGGTGGTAATACTTGCAAAGTTTCTCTTACCAGCTTGAATGCATTCCAGTTCTCATGGTTTTTGCTGGAGTATCGGAAGTTCTCTAGAAACCTGGAATTCTACAAAGTCTCTCTCATCCTTGGGTGTCTGTCCAATTCAGTGTTTTACAGGTGATGTGACTGAAAGCATTGGATAGGTTCCTAGTTACACAGCCCATTCCCAGATCTGTCTCCCTGTTACCTGATGCACAAGGGGTGAGACTTCCCAGGCCCCTGGCCTACGGGGCTAGATCCCACAGCTCCCACACAGGCAGTTTTGTTCATAAATACCAAATTTTTGAGTTAACAGGGGACAGAGCAAAGGACATCTTGTACCACCACAATCCTACAAGACAATATTGTTTAATTGTAGTCACCATGCTGAATATTTGATCTCCAGAACTTATTCATCTTATAACTGAAACTGTACCTTTTGACCAACATTTCACTATTTCTCGCTCCCCACTGCCCTGCCAATGACCATTCTATCCTCTGCTTCTATATGCTCTATTATTTTAGATTCCACATATAAGTGGGATCATGCAGTATTTGTTTTACTATGTCTGGATTATTTCACTTAGCATAACGTCTTCTAGGTTCATCCAAGTTGTATAATATTCCACCGTACATGTACATCACAATTTCTCCCTTCATTTAATCCCTAGGTTGTTTCTATACCTTAGTTACCATGAATAATTCTGCAATGAGCACAGGACTGGAGATAGTCCTTCAAGGTAATGATCTTATTTTCTTTGGATATGTACCCAATCTAGGTGAATTGATGAATCATATGGTAGTTATATATTTAGTTTTTTGAGGAAGCTTCATACTGTTTTCTTCTTTTTTTTAAGTTTTTATTTAAATTCCAGTTAGTTAACATACTAGTTTATATTATTAGTTTCAGGTGTAGTGTAATATTAGTTTCAGGTGTAGAATTTAGTGATTGAATACTTCCATTCAACACTGAGTGCTCATCACAACGGGTGCACTCCTTAATCCGCATCACCTATTTAATCCACCCCCCACCCACCTCCTCTCTTGTGACCTTGAGTTTGTCCTCTACAGTTCAGAGTCTGTTTTTTTAATTAAGTTTTTAGTGTTTTCCATAATGACTGTACCAAGTTAGAGTCCCACCGACTGTACAAGGATTCTCTTTTCTCCACAGCCTAGTTAATGTGTGTTATCCCTTATAATTTCTATAGTAGCCATCTGAATAGTTGTGAGGTGATATCTCGTTGTGGTTTTTATTTGTATTTTGATGATTAGTGATGTTTAACATCTTTTTGTGTACCTGAGTGCCATCCATATGTCTTCTTTTGATATGAGGGCGATGCTGGTGTCATAAAATGAGTTTGGAAGTGTTCCCTGTTCTGTTTTGGGGAAAAGTTTAGGAAAACTTGGTGCAAATTCTCCTTTGAATGTTTGGTAGTATTCACCTGGGAAGCCATCTGGTCCTGGGATTTTCTTTTCTGGGAGGTTCTTGATTACTGAACCCATCTCCTTCATTATTGATCTATTCAGGCTTTCCATTTCTTCTTGATTCAGTCAGTAGATTGTGTGCTTCTAGGAATTTATTATTTTCTTCTAGGCCATCTATTTTTGGGGCTTATAGTTGTTCACAATTGTGTTTACAATCTTTTTAAAAAAAATTCTGAGCCTTCCATTACAATGTATCCCCTTTCATTTCTGATTTTATTTATTTGCATCTTTTGTCTTTTTTTTCTTAGTCAATATGTTATTTTTATTCTCTATTTGATTTATTCCTGCTATAATATTTATTATCTCCTTTCTTTCTGGTAACTTTGGGTTTAGTTCTTCTTTTTCTAATATCGTTAGTTATAAAGTTTTCGTTTATTTGAGATCTTTTAAAATACAGAACTTTATTTTTTCTTTATATATTTTTCTTTTTAAATATAGAACTTTATATATTTATATATAAATAAGTAAGTAAATATATATACTTATATATATTTTATTGCTATGAACTTCCCTCTTAGAATGGCTTTTGCTGCATCTTGTAAGTTTTGGCATATTGTCTGTCTCAGTCCATTTGAGCTACTCTAACAAAATACCACAGACTGAGTAACTTATAAGCCACACATTTACTTCTCACACTTCTGACCGTTGGAAATCTGAGGATAGGGTGCCAGCATGGTTGACTGAGGGCCCTCTTCTGGCTGAAGACTTCTCTTTGTGTCTTCACATGGTAGAAAGGGCTAAGGAGCTCTGTGGGGTCTCTTTTAAGAGGGCCCTAATCCCATTTGTGGAGGTTCCACCCTCATGAGCTAACATCTCCCAACTTCTGCACCTCCTAATATCATCATGTTGAGGGGACAAGACTTCAACATATGCATTGTGGAGGAGTACATTGGCTAAAATAGAAAATAAACTCAAAATGGATGAAAGACCTAAATGTGAGACAGGAAACCATTAAAAACCTGGAGGAGAACACAGGAGGAAACCTCTTTCACCTCAGCCACAGCAATTTACTAGACATGTCGCTGGAGGCAAGGGAAACAAAAGCAAAAATGAACTATTGGGACTTCATCAAGATAAGTCCTGATGTGAAGTGAAGGACAGTCAACAAAACTAAAAGGCAACCAGTGGAATGGGAGAAGATATTTGCAAATGACATATCAGATAAAGGTTAATAAAAAAGTAATAAAAAATATCTCCAGACAAATGAAAATGAAAACAATGCTATGGGCTATATATTTCTGTCTCCTCCCACCAAAAAAACAAAAAAACAAAAAAACAAAAAAAACAAAAATTAAAAAAAAATTCTAATGTTGGAGGCTATGCCCAATGTGATTGCACTAGGAAGTGAGAATGTTGGGGGTTTCAGTTATTCTAAGGTTTTTTTTTTGTTCCACTGTGTTCCTGAAACTTCTTTTTTTTTTTTTTAATTTTTTTTATTGTTATGTTAATCACCATATATTACATCATTAGTTTTTGATGCAGTGTTCCATGATTCATTGTTTGTTCATAACACCCAGTGCTCCATGCAGAACGTGCCCTCCTCAATACCCATCACCAGGCTAACCCATCCCCCCACCCCCCTACCCTCTAGAACCCTCAGTTTGTTTTTCAGAGTCCATCATCTCTCATGGTTCGTCTCCCCCTCTGACATACTCCCCTTTTCTTCCTCTCCTCTGAAACTTCTTAAGTAGACTCCTGACCTCTCTCAGAGCTGTGCTTATTTGTGGAGAGCTGTGTGATTGTTGCTATTTGTGGGAGGACTGAATTTGGCTCTCCTACCCAGCTATGTTTGTGAAATC